GCCCAAACTGTGCATGGAGGTGAGCCCGACTGTATCTAGCCAGTATCTCTCAACCTCACGCACTAGCTCAGGTTCCTTCACCACCAGAGAGGTGGCGTTCAATGTACCTGTCGGCAGCCTCGGTAGTCGGGGATCAGTCCAGCTTGAGGGTCCTGCTCAGTCTCTTTGCTATTCCCAGGACTATGCGCTCGTGGACAGAGATCTGGGATGTTGTTCCTGGGATCTGCTGGAGGCACTTGTTGTGTTTAGGATTCACTGGTTTGCCACAGGAACCACTGTTGCCTTCAACCTCCACATCCTCCTCTCTCTCTCTCTCTCTTTCTCTCTCTAGATATATATATGTTTGTAAACAATAGGCCACACTTATATAGTCCAAATGACATTCTGATATCTTTGCTGTTAATGCTGGTGAGGTGGATCAGTGAGTCTTGCTCAATACTGGCATACAGCTTGTACAGGAGGTGACTTGGTGCTCATTCAACTTGACCTACAATTTAAATAGAGCTAAAGCGTTTTGGGGTTTTTTGTTTTTTTAAAGGCTCAGCTACTGTACATGCACTGCAAGCCAAACCCTTCATAATCTTAAGAGAACTAGCCTTAAAGTAGCTGTTATTGTGCAACAACAGATATTTTACTCAGAGTAGAAGGTTTGACTTTAAAAGGGCAACACAGAAACAGCCAATATCGTCAGTGTATATGATGAACTGTTGCAAAAAAAAAACAACCTCCTTTTTGTCAGCAACATTAAACCATTACATTATGAGCAAATGTGTTGGAGGACAAATAAATGCATTTACAGCTGAAGAAGTATCATCACACAACAGTATCATGCACATAAAACAATACCCCTCCAAAAGTCACCGACACTTGTTATCGCTGTCTGTTAAACCCAATTCTCTGCTCATCTCCACCTTTATGTGCTCTTGGTGGCTGACCCCTGGGTGCCTGCGGGGAGAGGCCTCACAAAAAGAAACTTTGACTGGAGGAAGTTATGGCCCTCCAGCAGTGCAGGCTGTCAGTTTAACTTTCACACCAATAGCTGACAAACTGGCCATCCCAGAGCATCACACCCTGGAAGCTGAACTGCACACCAAGTCATGATTTGATTGCAATCCTAACATGTTTAATATTATACAGACACTCATTCAAGTCTGAGATCAAATTATAATGTTTCCTATAGAGAAAATGAGCCCCGATTTGATTAGATGAATAATAATTTGGATTCTCGTGATGCCTCAGATTAAAATTAGTTTTACTCACAGTGTGGTCATGACAAGCGTGCAGCTTAGCACCCTGCCAGCACATCAGGGCTCTCTGCTTTGTTATTGCTAAGTGTTCACTTTCGGAAATGGCAAAGAAAATGACCCTGTGCTTGTCACATTTGCCTTTACTTTCAATTGCTAAAATTGTACTCCACTTACAATGTACTGCTTTAGTTTGTTTTTCATTTTCTTTTTGGTCCCATTGTACGTGTTGTGTTCTTGAAAAAAACATTGTTCCTCTAGCATAAATTCTGTAGAGAATAATTTAACTTATAATTCATTATTATTATCTTAACTTAAATTAGTTTGTACTAGTATTAGTTCGTAAAGACATGATGGCTTGGCTGTCTGTGTCAGTCATCTTCTAAGTGCTCAGCACATTAAAACCACACTGACTGTAGTAAGATCTTATTGATCATAACATGGACATAAATGTCAAACTTTTTTATTTTAACCTGTGCCATAGTTTGTATCTCAGTGGACACAAATTTAAAAATTATCCCTGGTTGCTGTTGCTGTGGCCTTAGCCTTTTTCAGCCCTTAGAAATGTGTCCCTTGTTGTAGGAAACGTACTTTCAGAAGCAGGGTAGTATTCTGCATACAAATAGCAGTCAATTTAGAATGATTCTCTCTACAATCAGGCAATGCAAAGAACAAAACCAAATTAAATTTTGTATATGCTTTTACTTTGCAACATTTTTATAACACTGGCTCTCTTCTGCAGAGTTTATGTCAGTGGATTATGAGTGTTAAGAAGAACTACAGGAAGAATGTGGCCTATCATAACTGGAGACATGCCTTCAACACAGCCCAGTGCATGTTTGTTGTCCTCAAGTCAGGGCACTTACAGGTAAGTGCAGTCAAAAAATAGTCATTGATTCCCAGAGCATTCTCATTCCCAACATGTAACATACCGAGGATTTTCCAAGGCACCTCATAGTAACAGTAATAGTAATCTTGCTGCAAAGGGCAACCACTTTTTTCTAAGTAATCGAACATGTTTTATTGTCATTTTACATATTTACAGTTTGTCAGAGCCACTTGCTACTACATTTGAAAGCAAAGTGTACCTTTTTTTAAAAAAAAAAAATTAATGTGTAGTAATGCAATGTGACACTAGTCAAATGTCCTCTTGTACAGAACTTGTACTGAGGTAAAGAAAAATGATAGAGAATATTTTAGCAGATGCAAGAACTTTGCTGTTTCAGATAGTTAATAAACCTGTGAATGGTTGTTTTTAACCCAAACCATTCTTTTTTCTGACCATGCATCAAGTGCTTCTGGTCCTAAAATGTAAAAAGTACCGGTAGTCGTTGCCTGACAAATTCAAATCAAACCTCACCAAACTTAATATGAAATCAAAGTCCAAGACAAAAGTCTAAAACTTAAAATGAAGTAAAATGCTAACACCCCCTCATTCACCTTTTTTCAGTTATTTGTGCGTTTTTTGGCTCTTTTTGAGTGAGGTGAGCCATAAAAACCAGCTCTCTTAAAAAGAGCCTAAACAGACGCAGACTACACCTTTCTCGGCTGCTGCCTCAAAGCACATTGTGCGCTGTCTATCTTGCGTGCTGCACAATATCGTTTAATATTTAGTATCTACTAGCTATCTACTGCGAGCTAGTTTATTGTGATCAAGGCTCGCAAAATTTCAAAATCTCTGGTAGCCCTTCGGGCAGGCATTCTTCAGTTTTTGGTAGCCCAAAATAAATTGAAGTAGCCCGAATAAAAAAAGAATTTTTTTTTATGTTTTGTTTCCTTTACAATATTATACATTAAAGTATAATATTGTAACGGAAACAAAAATTAATCAAAAAAAATACAAATCACAACAACTGTATAAAAATTA